TGTTAGGGGATGGACTTGGTTTGCACTTCTAACTCATCAAATATAAGCATGCACTTCTCTACACTTACCCACACCGACTTAGCACCTACTATGAGCATATCCTTGACAAGTTCAGCACCTACACTAACAAACTCTCTGTCATTAGTTATGACTCAGCTGTCATCCAAGAGTGTTAAAAGTTCTCACAGCTGTGGCTATGACGGTTCTGGGTGAGTTGCTCGCCCAGAATGTTCCCACAGCTGTGGCTATGATGGTTCTGGGTGAGTTGCTCACCCAGAATGTTCCCACAGCTGTGGCTATGACAGTTCTGGGCAAGTCGCTTGCTCAGAATGTTCCCATGGGTCGTGTGCACCCTTATTTGCCTTCCACATGTACGTATCTTATACTTGTGAGCTCAGCCATTTTATTGGTATTAAAGTTATTAGGAATACAACTCATTTCCCCTCGCTGCTCAGCTGGAGCCTGTGTCGCCTAGCACACCTCGCGGTTCTCCTATTGAGACCGACCCAGACCTTCCTAGTCTTACCTCCACTTCCACTGGATCCCTTGACCTTAGCTCCGAGCAGCTTGGTATCCTGACAGGGAGGAGGAACAAAACCACATGCACTATTATCTCTTTGTCAGGGATCGCTCATCAGTCCGAGTCGAATATTGCCCGAAAACCTAGTTGTAGACAAAGCTGAGGTTCCAATCCTCAGCGGCACATAGAGCTATATACACGAGTGACATCAATCAATCGGAAGAGATAGGATTAAAGGAACTAAACAATGATCCGATAGAAAATGAAGTGAATAGAGATGAAGGAACACTCAGATCAGGGGGCAGAGTCGGATCAGGAGAAGGTGAGGGATTTATGATATATGAGGGCCGATGCAGCTACATGCGGTGATATAGTCTTACATGATATCGATAGGGTAACAGAGAACCGCTTACGCTATGTCCCCTGACACTCTTCTACTCGTTGATGGGAGGTATGGTCAGCACTTCTGATCTGAGCACGAGCCTCCATGAGCAAATGACATGTTACCTCAGAGCAGGTCTGGACGTGTCCACGTACAGGCATATGGCTGCTGCAATTGGCTGACGTTTGGAGGTTGGCATCATCGATCTGGAGGAGGACGAGATGACAACAGGGATGGATGCCCAGGCAGGGTGGCTCACAATAACATCGGAAAAAATCTATGGTCTTCAGAAGGATGAGGTCAGTGGCATCAATGATTGTGTCATCACACTCTTCCGTGCAACCAGTCGCCTGTGGCATGACAAGGTGCTTGGGCTCCCTGTATGTGGTTGTGTGGTTGATCTGAAAACAGTCTTGGACCATGAAACGACCATGAGCCAGCTATTGGGGGCCGAGAAGGAGAGTGAGCCAGATCTCAGTCATGCTGGATGACGACAGTCAGCAGCGGCAGCAGTGGAACAACTGGATATCTTGAGCATGGTACAGAATCTACTAAAGGAGGTGATCGAGCAAGATGTGATGCCTCAGCTCCTTGGTATGGAGGAACGTCTCATGGCTTGGCTAGGGGTTATGATGAGTAGCAAAGGCAAACCACCACTCCTGCTGTGACAACAACCTCTCCTCATCGCTTCACTCCCTGAACAGAGTAGAAACCACCCCTCCACCTGTTCCCAATGCATCTACTCCTGCAGCCATAGTGGATGATGAGTTCGAGTGGGAGGAACCGCCCTTGGGTGAAGCAATGGTATGTTCACTAATGTCTTCTGACTACACATGATTCATGGGAACCTTGTCACATCAGGATAATATCCATGCCTCACCTGGATTGAAAAATCCACCGAAACAAGAAGAGGACAATGGGCTCCGGTACATCAAATGCAGCCAACAGAACCCTGGAGTGGGCAGCGCCACAGTGGTCAACCAACAACAATGACCCCAACACAATCATGTCCAACCAGGGGATTCAGAGACAGGGAAGCAGCAGCAGCAGCAGCAGCAGCAACAACAACAACAGCAACAGCAACAACAGCAACAACAACAACCTCCTGAAGAACAGCTTCCTTCCCATGCAGCCACTGATGAAGGTAAGTGTCCTCTCTTTCTATGGAGACCTAAGCCAAGAAGTTCCCTCAGAGTCCTTGACCCCCCTACTCCCCATCATTGTCCCCCAAGAGGTAGATGGTGATAAGTTATCAAGGCTATACAATCCAAAGGCGACCCACCAACAAGCTTTGAACCCTACTCAGGGATCAAAAAGCAACCTTTCGGTCCCCTGCACAGTACCGGGTCTACTGTGAGATCATGAAGAGGCAGTGTCATTGCCTATACATTGCTGGCTGTGGTGCTGGTAAGACGTTACCATTCATGCTTGCTGCCATGTCTTGGGGGATCACCAAGCAATTGATCTTGGTGTTGCCCTACCAGATCCTCCATCCGGAAATGCACAGGTGCTTGAGCAAATCCAACATATCCAATTGCAAATGGATGATGGAAACTCCATCTCCTGGGGAGCAAGTGGTCACTGTGGCCATTGAGTCCTTCAGCAACAACATATTCATCAATTGGCTTACAGGAGTGGTGAACAATGGAAGGCTGGGATGCATCATGTTCAATGAGGCACATGGGATCGTAGAAGATCAACTGTTCCGTCCAGCCTACCTTGATGCCATCCAGAAGCTCATGCAGCTGCAGAATGCCCCCATCCTTTTTACGTTGGGCACAATGTCACAGGGTTTCACTTGGAAGTTTTGTGTCATATCCGTGCATACCCGACCCCGACCCGACTTCCGGACCTCCACCCTCTTCACCTCCGGAGTCATAACCTACCGCTGCCGTTCCGATACTCACCTTCGGTCCTGGCAACACACCTCCTCCTTACCTCCCGTTACCCTCCTACTACTCCGCTCCCCCTTCACAACACCTCCACCCTCCCGTTATCCTCCTACGCTTCCCCCGTCCGCTCCGATACTCACCTTCGGACCTGACTACTCTCCTTTCCACCACTCCTTCTCCCCTTACCTGTCCCCTCTCTCCTCCCTCCATTACTCCTCCACCACCCTTCCACCAAGTTACGACCTTCCACCGCTGTTCCGTACTTCGCACTCGGACACCGTTCGTACCTTACTCCGAGCCTCCGTCATAGTCCCTACCTCGGACTTTGACTCCACCTCGGCCTTAGTCCATTGCATTGGTGACCTCATACTACGTAAACACCATTGCCAATATTCCTCGGACTTCCAACCCCGCCTCCGCAACCTCCGTAAGCTCCGCAACCCCGAGCTTCGCGGATTGCCTTTGGCACCCTCGCCGCCTGTAATGTATTCCTCACGTTTTCCCTTCATCCCTATTTGGACTACTGCTTCTTTCTATTCTAGCCAGTTAGTCATCATCCCCACTTCCCCTCATCCTCCTGCCCCTCTGGGCCTCGCCCTCCCTACCTCCTTTCGGACGTATCACAGGTCTTGCCCTATGACCTTCGGTACCGCTCCGCTCCCTCTACCCTTTGTTCCCGTTCGGACGTCTTCATTCCGATTCGGTCACCCTTTGTTCTCTTTGTGCTTTTGCCCCTTCCATTATATATATCGGCACTTGTACATACTCGTCTTGGTTTCAGTCCGAAATCGACCTGAAATGCCCCCTAGAGACTTCCTGCTCACCTACTGTGAAATTAAGGACCAAATGGACAAACAGCAATGGCACAGCGCTCCGCTTGAGTTGCTGAGGCCAAGGTCCCTCCACGCTAAGTCTCCGATTCCACTCCGGAGTCGTCCGTTTCTGCCTCATTCTAACATTTTGGAAGGCTGCTGACTTCCTGTATCGTCCAGACCAGTCTGCGGTGGTGATCCGCATGAGGACCCAATGGCCACAGATGTTCTACCAGTTCGTGGTACTGGGGATGGGTCAAAAGCCTTGCAAGATGGATCTTCCAGATGTCAAGACGGCCTGGAACATGGAATGGCGTGCATGGACAGTTGAGGTCATCCGCCAGGTGGAGGAGGGTCTGAAGGGTGATGAACGGGGGTTGGTGTTCTTCATGAGCAAAGAGGAATGCATGGAATGGACCATGCACTTGCACTGCTTGTACATCACTGCTGACGTCCCATCCAATGACCGTCGTTGCCGTTTCGATGATTGGCGTCAAGGGAAGCGACGAATCCTGTGCCTCAACAAGGCAGGCTACTATGGCTTCGATTACCATGCTGTAGCCTTTCCGATCTTTGTTGGGCAACCTTTCTCTGTGAACGACTTCTACCAGAGTTCGTGGAGGGTGTCAGGGCACACCTGCCTGACCCGGCTCCACCTGCCCTGACCCAGTATCCCGCTCACCTCCACCCCCCACCCTTCATCACCTTTCCTCAACTCTTGCTCTTCTTTCTATCCCTTTGTTCTTTTATTCTTTTGTTTCTTCTATCTTTATCTACATGGACGACCTTTCCTCATTATTGACCTGCCCGCAATGCATGTGCAACACACCCAGCCCCGGATGACCTGGACAGCCTCACAGTGCAACCCAGCATGCACACATGCAGCACATGCCCTCGGGATCCCCCACGGGGACACCTGGATGACTGCGCCTGTATGCGGGGTGATGTGGCTGACCCAAGCCGCATGTACATAAAGGTACCTGGGGTGGGAACCGAAGAAGTAACCTTCTTCTCACAGTTCCCACTTCAGGTAAGTAGCATAGCCCCCCTTTTTTTAATAACAACTCACAGTTCCTACTTCAGTCTGAGTGGCCAGGGACCATTGTCCTGGACCAGGCTCGCCAGTACGCACACCTGCTCCACACCCCGTGACGGCCTCAGTGCTGGGCATTACCCTCGGGCCGCCTCAACCCCGGACGCATCCCTGACAGAGGGTGGCTTGAGGTCTGCAAGTTGGAACAAGCCTTGTGTTGCTTCCAGCTCCTCTGAAGCGCTTTTCTGCCACACAGGAGTGTTTCAAGGGTCGTGTGGCCATGACGAAGGCCGTTCAACAGTACATGATGTGCCATCAGGTCATGCCTTCGCTGCATCTGGATAGCAAGGGTGAAAACTGTATGGGCCTTCGGGAGTCAGAGCCAGGGACGGTGCTGTGTGTGGCATGTTACAAGGACATGAAAGGCAAGCTGGATGACTATGATTTCGATCTCTGCTGGGGTAAACCTTTCAGTGAGTCTCTCCCTTCCTCTCTCCCTCTGCGTTCCCTCTGACGTGGCCCATCTAGAATTGAGGGCGGCAGCGGATGATGGCGATGAGCCCATGGTGATAGATGGAGGTTCGCAGACATCAATGCAACCACATGGATCTTGGACGCCTTCTTCCACCGATTGATCGGCTGGCACTTCAAAGAGTGGGCCTTCGGCCTTGGAGATCAACGCTTCGCTCCAGCTGTCCAAATCCAACGCTTCTTCTGCCATCCCCATTCAAGTGGAAAAATGTCTCTGGGAACTCAAGGGCAGGTGCTTACTGTGTTGGTTGCATGGTACGCACTGCTCACACCTCACATCATGCTGTCTTGGCACCACCACACAACAGGGATGGCAAATATCAGGAGGGATATCACCAGTGGAAGTGGAAGCGTGGCCTGTTTTGCACCAAGGGGGACGGTAAGGACATTGAGGGTATTGTTGGAAATGCCTCCTCAACATGGACTCTAGTTTGGTGCACACTTGTCCAACAAATGACAGGTGCAAATTTCCTGATATGGTTCCTGAAATGGCCTGGATGGTCCTAGGCTCCGAGGCACTCAGTAAGGGTCTGGCCAACTACATTGGTGATCCCAAGGTAGAAACCATATGTGGGTACGAATCGTGGCTGTTGGGGAGATGGGAGGGCAATAAGAAATGGCGTAACAGTTCCACTCTGCTGTCTTCTTTTACCAATGTTGCTCATCAAAATAGTAATGTGCCCTCGTGTCAGGTGGTGAGATACCTAGCTCTCCTGCATGTATGCGCTTTGGTGCTTTTTTTTCATGCAAGGACATTGCCACTCAACGACGCTGGGTATTATAAGCGTCTGACAATAATAGCTTAGACAACATATCATTAAAGATGTCACATGGGTCCATGTGTGCGCTCTCAGGTGTATTGTGATACCTAACTTCCTCCTCGTATACTGGTGGGAAGTTTCCAAGTGAGCAGCTTACCCAGAAATCATCATAGCCACAACTGTGGGAACTTTCTGGGCAAGCAGCTTGCCCAGAACCTTCCCACGGGGGAGTACCTATTATGGGGAGTCAGCTGGAGCTCCAACAACTTCCAGACACCCTCCCCCAGGGTTGTCACTGAGACTGAACCTGACATGTACATGTAGGGAAAAGGAGGACTCACGTAACCTAACATGGTATTCTCTTGAGTTGTTTTCTCTATATAAGTTTTTATCATCTTTTGGTACATACTCTCTGTCTTGCTTGCATTCTGTTGGATGCTTCGACGTTCTTCACTGCACATCAATCTGCCTTCCACTTGTATCGTTTTTGTTCCCAGTTCAATTTACATCCATAACTGGTCCTTGGCATCTGTTTCTTTTTTCGCATTCTTCCGGTAATCTTGCCGTTTTCTGTACTTTCCTTGGTCGCTTGACATTGCTCAATGAGGCCTCTGATGTTTGTGCCACACTAACTTTGCTGCTGCTTGCCTGCCTGTCATGCACAAATCAGTCTTGGCCATCACAGGGCCTGCTGCTATTTCGAACTTTCTCCTGCACCTATCACCACCTGGATCCCTGATATGGTTGGAATTTCAAATCATCTGTAAACTGAGGTGCATCCAGTGTAACCTACATGAGTTATAAGTACAACTAACTAAATAGGACTGGAGTGGGCGGATCAAGAGACAATATGAAGAATAAACAAATGGTTGATATCAGCAATCATCAACGCTTTTGATCTTGTCTTAACAGCAGCTTAAACCCACCCCAAACTCACTCCCAACGGCTTGTGTGCACACTGGATGAGACGCAACAGAATAGCATGGCAACAGTCCTGGCCAATGCCAGAACCTCTTGAAATTGAAGACAGGAAGCCAGTAATTAACAGGCAGGAGACCAGGGACGGAGGAGGGTAACACGAAAAACAAGGACAACGAGGAACAGGAGGAACAAGAGCAAAGTTACAAAGAACAAGGAAACAACCAAAGATAATGAAACCTAGAATAAGCAATCGGGATCCCACCCGCTGAGAGTAACTGAAGGTCACAACACCTCCCCCTCAGCAAGACCGAAAAGCTTACCGGAAGCAAGGAAGAGTAATAAAACTTCGACGAAAACACAGCTTGCAGGCCCAAGGAATGAGACTAAGGAAGAAAAAAGGGAAAAGCAGAGGATGAGGTGAAAGTGGGCCAGAGCCCTGTAGTATAGGCAGACAAAGAACACGCACAGAATTCATCTGGAGAAATCGATCCAGGAATGCAGTGGCAATAAACCTGAATTGGCATGACTGCAACCTTGGAAGGCACAGTATGTGTAAGGCTGACAGCAGGTACGGCACATAAGATGTAGCATCACTGGGGAATGTGCCAAGCGAATTCAGACCGACCGCACACAAGTCTATCTCATACCTCCATAACAACAAAAAAAACCTCTTGGAGGTGCCATAGAGACTCTTTGGGACCAACTATCTAAGCAGGAGGAGAGTGGTCGGCCCTATGAAAGCAAGGAGGATTGGGAACTTTGTTATTGGTTGAGCATGGAGGGTGTTTCACAAGGAGGGATTAATCACTTCTGAAAGCTTAAATGGGTGTGTGAGCCTAACATTCCAGATAAATGATCGCTACCAACTGTGGGATTAGGTGACAGGCCATCCGCATCCACCAGGATGCAGCTTCAATGTACGATCAGGTGAAGACAATGCCAGGCCCACCTTCATGGAGGTCCGATACGAATATCCTCAAAGAAGCACCCAATGAGCCACAAACACTCTACTGGCGTGATCCTGTGGAATGCATGCACTTCCTATTCCAGAATCCAGACTTTGATGGGGGTATTGCCTATGTGCCCTCATAGGTGTATCGTTTGGATGGAACACAGGTTTATTCAGAGATGACGATGGAAAATGAGTGGCACTTTCAGCAAGTAACTCACATCATTCCGGTTAGAGTCCTCAAGCTCACAGTGATGTTTAGTGATTTATTCATGGCAAGATGGATGCCATACATTTCAAGTATCATCGGTGGCATGGTGGAAATCTACATGGATGACTGTCAAGCTACTTGCTACATTCCCAGTTTGCATTGGGTGTCAGGGACGCATCCGGGGTCGAGATGGCCCGAGGGTAATGCCCAGCACTAGGGCCATCACGGGGTGTGGAGCGGGCGTGCATACTGACGAGCCTGGTCCGGGACGATGGTCCCTGGCCACTCAGACTGAAGTGGGAACTGTGAGTTGTTATTAAAAAGGGGGGCTATGCTACTTACCTGAAGTGGGAACTGTGAGAAGAAGGTTACTTCTTCGGTTCCCACCCCAGGTACCTTTATGTACATGTGGCTTAGGTCACATGAGGTTTGCCACATCACCCCGCATACAGCTGCAGTCATCTGGGTGTCCCCATGGGGGATCCCGGGGGTGTGTGCTGCACGCACGCGTGCTGAGTTGCACCACAAGGCTGTCCGGGTCGTCTGGGGCTGGGTGTGTCGTGCGTGTGTCGTGGGCGGGTCAATAATACATAGGTATGAGGAAAGGTCGTCCATGTAGATAAAGATAGAAGAATGAATGAAGGAATAAAAGAACAAAGGGATAGAAAGGAGAACAAGAGTTGAGGAAACTGAAGGAAGGGTGGGGGGTAGGGGTGAGCAGGATACCGGGTCAGGGTGGGTGGAGCTGGGTCAGGTGGGTGTGCCCTGACATTGGGGCAATCGAGACATGAGAGTCGATGTCCTTGGTAAGCTTGAAGCTAATATCTCAAAAGGAAAGTTTAGCTTGGGTTTAGTGCTTGTAGACTTGGGGACACAGCTTTGCAGGAAGTACTGCTAGCTTGACCCAGTGTCAGTTTTAGGTTGAGTTAGTTGGGACCAGGGCCTCAGTGAGTCCAAAACCCCAGGTGCCCTTGCAATGGGTGGAAGGGTGGATGGTCCGATGATGATAATAGTCAGTGGCACTAGGGCAGGTTGGCGGAGTTGTGACAGCTCTTTGCCAACTTTCCATAACTGGCACCCCCTGTGGGAAGATTCTGGGCAAGCTGCTCGCCCAGAATGTTCCCATGGTTGTGGCTGTGATGGTTTCTGGGTGAGTCACTCACCCAGAACTTTCCCACAGGTCTGCCTGTTCACAAATGCATGGATGCGCTTTCCTTTCACTGTCAACCACAGCTGTAGCAACTGTACATTCATATTTCACTTCCTCAGAGTGCATGATAGTGTAGCGGTTATTACTATTCTACAATGTGAGGGTGTTGGAATGGCAGGTGCCATTGAGAGGCTCTCAACATGTTACAATGCTTGGGTAGTTTCCAACAAGGACCATTTGGGGGCTCCTCAAAATACTCATCCTAGGTGTCAGGAAAGCCTGGGAACTGTACAGTTCTCAGCTCTTTGCAGACTTCCCATAACAGGCATCCCCCATGGGAAGGTTCTGGGCAAGCTGCTTGCCCAGAAAGTTCCCATGGGTCCATGTGCATGTGGGGTCAAGGGCCATACCCTGACATAGTGGTTATGTGTGGTGCCATGTACTGCATGCAGCAAGAGCAGGGAACACAGTGTCTGTGAGAATAAAAGCAAGTGGACATCATCACTTGCCTGCCATGAGAAAAAAGCAAGTGGACATCTTCACTTGCTAGCTGTGAGAAAAAAAGCAAGTGAACATCTTCACTTGCTTGCCATGAGAAAAAAGCAAGTGGACATCATCACTTGCTAGCCGTGAGAAAAAAATCCTACTATGCCATTCAATCCTACTATGACAGTAGTCGAGCCACTTGACTTTCAGAACCAATTCAATCCTTTCCATTCAATCCTACTATGCTGTGGGAATTTTAAAATCAATTTAGATCATAGTAGACCTACTATGACGGTAGTAGATCCCTTGGCTTGGAGGTTACCCCCAATTCCACTCTGAATTTCACCTGTGAAGCCTGTATCCAAGCTAAGCAGACCTCAAGGCCTTTCCCCAAAGAGTCCAGAACTAAATATAAATCAGTCGGGGACTTAATCGTCACCGATGTCTGGGGTCAGGCTCAGGTTCTAGGCAAAGGCGGGTATCAGTACTTCATTTCATTCACCGATGTTGCCACCCGTTTTAGCGTTGTAGCATTCCTTCATCAGAAATCCGAATCGGTTACTCAATATCGTCGATTTGCTGCTCGCATCCAGACTCAGTTCAATCGTAAAATCAAAGCCATCCGGTTTGATAGCGGCACCGAGTATCTCAACGATTTGATGAAGTCTTTTCTTGCTGAACAAGGAACTACATACACGACAACTGCTCCCCATTCCTCCGCCCAAAATGGCATTGCTGAGCATCTGAACCGCACCGTTCTAGACCACTCGCATGCCATGTTGTTCAATTCCCAACTCCCCAAGTCCCTCTGGCCCTATGCCGTATCATATGCCACTTTCCTGAAAAACCGTACCCCGACGCGCGTGCTTGATGGCCGAACTCCATACGAGTCCTTCTTTGGAAAGAAGCCAAGTGTTGCAGGCATTCAAATATTTGGGTGCGATGTTTGGGTCCTAGACCAATCTGGTAAGAATGGGAAGTTAGATCCCCATTCTAACAAGTTCAGGTTCTTAGGCAACTCAGAGGAGACCACCGCCTACTGGTATTACAAGTCCAGCGGGGAGGTTGCGAAGTCGCGGAACGTCATTTTCCCTAACCCCACCCCTGAGAGTCCACCTTCCCTCCCTCTTCCACTGCCATCGCCTGAGGGGGAGATTGCTGAAAGTGGACAGGCGACGCAGGAAGAGGGGGAGCATGCTACCCACAATCCCATTTCCCTTCCCAAACACTCTGAACCTCCTTCCAATCAGTCCAACCACCCCATCCGCCCATACCACACACGCCGCACTCCTCTGAATGAGCCTTTCCTCAAGGTTGTTTCTGTCAGAGTCCGCGCGTCAGTTCGTGCGTAAGAATCTCCCTGGGAAACTAGTCGTTGTAAAAGCTGGGGGGCCAACCCAGCTGGCGATAAGGCCTTATATACATGAGTTCCGCAACTCATAAGAGCGCGGCTACATTGGGAACACATGGTAGCCGATAGAGAAGCGACATGAAATAGGAGAATAGATCATGCGGATAAGGGGGCGATAACGGGTGAGGGATGACGCGATAGCGGAAATAGCGCATTGAATACAGCCTGCATTCTAACTACGGCAAATCATACACAGATATCGGCTTACGGGTACTCAACCTATCCGGATAGGGGTCCGGGCCGGCCAGATAACTGTCCATGCCCTGACAGTCTCCAACCGTGGTGCTGTTCAATCAACAGTACAGTACTCCCATTGCAGGGACTGTGACCCTGTTGCTCTTGCAGCATTCACAGACAAGAAACCCGAGGTCAAGGACGCTCTTCAAGGACCTCATGCTGAGCACTGGCGGGCTGCGATGGATGCCGAAGTCGCACAGTTACTAAACCTGGACACTTTCGAACCCATATGTGCACCTGCGGATTGGAAAGTTATTGGATGTCGATGGGTTCTAGCTATGAAGAAGGATGCTGAGGGGGAGATTGTGAAGTTTAAGGCCCGGTTGGTTGCGCAGGGTTTTGCGCAGGTTCCGGGGATGCATTATGGTGAGACTTTCTCACCAGTGATGCGGACTGAGTCGTTCAGGCTCCTGCTGGCACTTGCTGTGCAGCTAGACCTGGAGATTCACCAGATGGATGTTGTAGGGGCGTATCTTAATGGGGAATTGGAGGAAGAAATCTATATGAAGCAGATACCGTGGTATGAGGATGGGACGGATAAGGTCTTGAGGCTGAAGAAGACGCTCTATGGCCTGAAACAGGCGGGCCGAGTCTGGAATAGACGTTTGCACGCTGCTCTCGTCAATCTGGGCTACACTTGTTTGTTCACGGACTCATGTGTCTACGTTCGGCGCTTAGACGACCAAATCTCTATGATCGCATTCCACGTCGACGACTCCGTGATTTTCACCAATGATGCTCACATGGACCAAGTCAAGGATGAACTTAAGTCTAAGTTCGACACACATGACCTTGGTGAGCTACATCATTTCATTGGGATTAAAGTAACGCGAGATCATACATGCAAGTCCATCACCATCTCTGTCAGGGACAGCTCCGAAAGCGGCGAGGTCCCGGTGCGAGGGACTCAATGGGACAGGTGTCGGCTATGCGTAGCGGCGGTCCCATCGTGGGGTGAGCATCCCCGACCACTGAAGTGGGAAGTTGAGTTATCATTAAAAGGGGAAAGCTATGGTACTTACCTGAAGTGGGAAGTTGAGAAGAAGGCTGCTTCTTCTGTTCCCACCCCAGGCGCTATTATATACATGCGGTCAGGGTCATGTGGGAGAAGCCACGTCATCTCTGCACACAGCTGCGCCTCCCCGGGTGTCTCCACGGGAGATCCCGGAGGTGGCCGCTCAGTAGGCAGGAGTGTGTGCGCGGCGCGTGCGGCAATCAGGGGAGTGGGGTTAGGTACATAGTGGTACATGGAGAGAAGGGAAATCGACCGTAGAATAGAAATAGAGAGAAAAGGGGAAAGTGAGGAAGGAGGGGCAGGGGGTGATAGTGGGGAAGGTGGAGTAGGGCAGTACGGCGCAGGGTGCGGCACAGGGTCAGGTGGGTGTGCCCTGACAATCTCCCAGTCATCCTATACCCACGAAGTCCTCGAACGGGCTGGGATGGTCGACTGCAACGTCGAAGACCTACCCATGTCGCCCAAGAGGAAGCTTTCCCCATTCCCTGGCCCCCGTCCAAACTACCCTTACCTCACTATGGTCGGATCACTTATGTGGTTGGCTATTAACACCTGTCCTGACATCGCATTCGCCACTCAACATCTTGCCCAATTCAACATGACATACGGACCTGATCATGTTCATGGTGTCAAGCGTGTCTTACGTTACCTTAAAGGCACTGTCAATCACGGGATCGTGTATAGGAAATCTGACTCTGGTTTTGCTGCCGAAGGTTTTGCTGATGCTGACTATGCAGAAGACTTCGATCACCATTCCATTACCGGGGCCGTGTTTGTCATGTCTGGTGGACCGATTGCGTGGACGTCGAAGAAGCAGGGCACTATCGCCCTTTCTACGTTGGAGGCCAAATATGCTGCTATCAGCCATGCTGTTCAGCACATACTTTGGCATAATATGCTTATGGCAGAACTAGGTTTTGAGGCCCCGCGTCCATTCAGACTTAACAGCGATAATCGAGGAGCGATAGTGTTGTTGCGTGACCCTCAGTTCCATGGCCGCAGTAAGCATATTGATATCCATCATCATTTTATTTGTGACCACGTCGAACGTGGAAATATTTCTATTTTTCACATCTGTTCTGAAGATAACTTGGCTGATATTTTTACTAAACCGCTTCCAAACCCGTTTTCACCAAATTTGTTTCTTCACTAACGGACGACGTCATGACTTGAGGGGGAGTGTTGTTTGAGCAAGACATGACGACGCGCCGGTACGCATATCATGCCCATATCGGCTATCCGATATGATACCCTTTTCCCATGTGTTTCGTGTTTCACTGTTGATTGCCTTCCACATGTAGCGCTGTTGCGTATCTCACTTTCTTATTACTTTTGTCTGATATCCATGTTATTTTTTAACTACTTATACCGCTGTGCGGTTACAATATCAAGTTGGTTGTTCCCCACTATCCGAGTGTCCCCGCTGAGAGCTTCATAACAACATGAATCGTGTGTGTTGGTGTTGGAAAACACCGCGCTAGCGCGGCCGTGCGAGTTTTCGTACAGCCACATTCCCACGGCCGAGCGAGGAACTCGCCCGGCCAGCCACATCTATTTATTCATTCTTTTGTATTCATTTCGGACTATCCCGCTCCCAAACTACATGGGAATTACCGCTCTTTGAATCACTTTTTCCCTCAGTTCTCTTTCGCATTATTTGCTTGAGACTGAGGTTAGCAACATCATTCCTTTATTTCAATCTATACTTATATACTGTATATTACCTCTAGTTGCCCCGCTTTGCTAGGTAATATATTCGAGTTCTCTTTCGCATTATTTGCTTGAGACTGAGTTGCCCCGCTTTGCTAGCAATCTCATATTACTTTAGTTGGAAGAGACAGTGGGGCCCAGGCCGCATCCCTCAATACCCCAAACGGTGTAATCTGCGCAAGGTCTATGGAGGTCAGGTGTAGTGGGTGGTGGAGTGCCACCCCCATTTGACCACATTCATACCCCATCACTCCTATATCACGCGACCACATGCAAACGGGACATAGCCACCTGATATCCGGGCTCGGATATCACCTCAGATATTTTGCCTCGAAACACAGTGAATTATTCTACATGTGGTAATGATTATGGGTGATACATTTGCACAATCAGCCGGAAGTAATTCAACTAGTACTACAAAATGACCAATGACCAGCATCACAAGCTCCGCCAGGGTACATACTCCTTACAGCATCCCGCATAAATTCTTCATCAGGCTCAAACATTGCAGGGACATCCTTTGACAACTTCAGCAAGGCATCATATGTTCCGTCATCCTGGGACCGAATGGTGCGAAAAGTCCTTGAAGAAGTCCCGGCACACCAAATATCAAATGAGGTGAAGGCACTCGTGCGGACCTGTTTCTCTTGCCTTGATGGCTGCACCCGCTCAGGTGGCATTATAACAGAAACTTTGGATTCCTTCGATGCCAGTGCATTCACCATCCGAATCACTGGGGGTGGTCCTGTCGACTTGGCAAAAATTCCAAGTTCGAACGGGTCCATCTTGTCAAATAAGTGTCCCGTCGGGCTGGTCCCGTAAGAGTGATCATTCTTCGACTGTATCATGAGGACAGACATATTGTTCCTTCGTAGTATGGTGTCTTGATAAAGAATGGGAATGACCACATCAATGCCATGTTGATTATCCGCACAGACAACTCCGACACCCCGGGCGGCAAGCTTAAAGAGATATTGGACAGAGAGTACCTTGAAATCATAAACCTTAATGAAATGCGTAACGTAAATGCGTGAGCTCTTGAATGTATCAGCAAATGCGTCGTTGCAACTGCCTGTCAGCAGCCTTGAGGGCAAAGAATCCTTGATCGACTTGTGATAGATGTCGTGGGTAAAGAGCGCCTCGAACAACGAGGTCACCATGACCCCCCCTGGCTCCCATCTCCCTTCCCTGGACATAAGGTCATCTACGGTGTCGAGAATAATGTTGCACGTAATGAGTTCTCCCCGATCTCCCTTACTCATTCCAGGCCACTCCAAAATGTCTCGTAACATCTGACAGGACCGGACCTTATCCCGGATGGTGCACAAGATGATGGCCGCGGCCTCGGTGAGGATCGGCTCCGAGGCTGCAACCGTAACGACAGACTCAAATCCATCCTTGACACCCAAGCATACACGCATGTGCCTCTCGACTTGGTTCATCTGGTTCCTTACTGCCAACGTTCGGTGCCGACCAAAGTAAATGCTCGTATTGAAGTCCAGCACAAGGCGATGAGACATCACGGCAAACTTTTCATCGAGGGTCAAGTCATCCTTTTCCCACGCACGGCAGAGAAGTTTCTGGACAGCAAATACGGTGATTGTGGCTTTGACGCGTTCTCCGCCCTCTTGGTAGCGTGTCAGCCATCTACAATGACATAAAGTTATTATAGTGAAGAAAGATCTGGGAGAACGTACAAGGGACGACCTAATGATAACCTGTACGGTAACTTAGTGACATCATCCAAAGTCATGCCCTCACGAAACTTCATCGCCATGCGATCGAAACCTAGTGCGCTGAACGGTTTGACACTGGCAAGTTTGCCTTGGAGAATGCGGCTCGATGGATCAAGGGAAGGTGGTGGGGAGAATTGGTCAGACTTTCCTGTTGTGGATAAGAAGAGGGTCCAGATAGGGAACGACCGTAAACCCCGCAAAGCGCGTCTGATCGATGAGAATGCGGACCACCTCCTACCAGTATTTGAAGGCGCCAAGGTGTGGGCTTCATCAAATGCCAAAGTCAATATGGGAGTATGCTGCGTTCTGAGCTCGAAATGAGGGTCGATCTTCCCTAATACTTGTCGGACGACAGTATCAAGTGCAACCATGCCTTGTGTATAAAAAAGACATTGATTAGTCAAGACCATGCTTAGGGAAGTAATGAGGAATACCATTTGTGTTTGTCGTGAACTTCCCGGGCGGTGTTTTCTGTTCTGAAGGAGTCATTGGCCTAATATTTGAATATAGCTGCCTCGATTATGAGTGACCTAGCGGCGACACAAAACAGGGACTTGCCTCCTCCGCTCTGGCCAATACCTCCTCGTAAAACTGCACACGTAGAGGAGCTTGGTGTCCAAACCGCTGTCCAAGTGTCATAAAAAGTCGAAACTGCCCGGCAAGGGATTTAGGATAGTCCATTAATGCCGCTGACTTCTCGGCCGGTGAGAGCACAGAAGAGGAGGCGATAATACTTTTTATTGAGTTATGTGGTCCAATAACGTTGGACACCCTCTCGAACAATGCAGTGAGAAATGCGCTGAAACGAGTATCGCTTTCATGCTCTTTAAGGCCAATCCTTGTGAACCAATTCAAGACATCATGGTCAGGAGCCGGATATCCTAGATTGAAACATTAGAATCACACAGAAGAATACGGGAAGAGAATATCACCTTCAGCTCCCTGACGGAGATTGAAGGGGACTACAAAGTGCTTCTTGGAGAACTCGTCGACCATTCGCGATTTCCCCATGCCAGAGGACTGTACGATTGGTAAGAGGCGAGCATATGTATCAACAATATCTTGTCTCATCATGTACTGGTAAAGAATGTTGGCAGCGTCTCCTCTGTATTTGGAAGACCACGACTTGACTGCCGCTGGAAGGAGGTCGGAAAGGAATGACACAAGCAGGCGACGCTCTACCCACCATCTTCGGATGATTGAGAATCAAGTATCGCTTCAGGGTCGGGAGGACCCGCAGGCTGGGCGGTTGGAAGAAGAATTTCTGTAACGACCACAGTTTATCAGAGCCATCCAACGACGCCCAAAGCCAACGGTGCATACCCAAGTTTCGTATCTCCTTGAACGATTGAGCCTCCCATGCTTCATCTAACCTATCCCCCAACTCCGGATGTTGTGCGATTAAATCATCCAGTGGCGGTAAACTTTTCGAGTCGAGTACTCCGTCTGATTGGAGGACAATTTCTTTGAGAAGAAGAAGACGAAATTGATTTCTGGAGAGATTCTCGGCAAACTTGAGCATGAACTCCATGACAAGTGCGTCAAGCGTTATGTGGGTGGCTTCGTCCAGGACATTGGGATGAACCGCGAGAGTCGTGGGTGCACGTTTAGAGGAGGGCTCACCCACTGACGGGCCAATCTCCAAATTGGATCTCTTTAGAGCTGACTGATTTGGGAGCGGGACTTGAATTTCGCGACTGCCGTGCGGATGTTGCTGGGGAGGCGTCAAGTTTCCTGGAGAATCCCCGAAGGCAGGCTCGGTGACTTCCACCGACGAACCTCCGATGTGCAGAGGTTCTTCTTCCATCAGTGTTTCTGGGGCCAAGGCATCTAATGGAACGGCTCCATGCCTACCGCTTCGCAAATTCGGCATGTTGCAGCGTATTTAGTAGAGTAGGAGGACTTGAGATGGACAGTCCCAAGCCGATCGAGGAATGCGAACTGTAAATGTAACAACAACTACAAAGAACCCCGGCATACTCCGAGCCCCGAAAGTTGGCGCACGCGACCGCAACGTCGTTAAACTAGCAGGGTAAAACAATACGTTCTAAGTACACAATAAACAACAGAAAATTGGCATAAGATACGGGAGGGACCACCAGCTGAAAGAAAAAAAAAAGAAAGTCCCCTGGACCCCGACAAGGCAATCATATTAAGCCTAATACGCTGTCGGGTAGGGGCTAGGAGCAGGGTACACGTTAAACTTTTACAGTTTCCTGTATCCGGGTAATCCCGCAAGGATAAGGCTCATACTGCCGCGAAGTACTCATACAGAAGTACCGCTCGCCCCACATCGAATACCAGCGGAAGTACATGTGTATCCTCACGGACTCCTAAACAATACCATAACATACAATAACGTACAAATAATACCCCACACAGCAGTCCCTCCCCGAACAGCCAATATGCAAGATAGCCCTCTATCATCACCGTCGCCCACTAAATACCTTGAGGAAGATGACACTATGGTAGACGACTCCCCAAACAAGTCATACCGACAAAGTACCCCCGCGACTTCCCGACCATGACCGAACCACCCTTGTCCGTACTCCCACCTACCACCTTCATACTCGAAGTAACCAAACGCCAGAGGTCCCCCGAATCGGCCAACATACAAGGGCCGAGCCTCGCGCCCCCACCCCCCCTACTGAAGGAAGGGCCGGCAACACCTCTACTGACAACCACATGACGGCCAACACCCCAAATCCTATCACTACACCCAACCTCCCTCTCGAACTCCCATACGACACCCGAATCCCGGCCACGGCAGACGCCCCGGACTATGTAACAGCGGCAGCCCAGCGCCCACAAGATGGGAATGACCTCTTCAACTTCGTTGACCTCGACTGCGAACTGACCGACTTCCAAGCCCACGGCGCGTGACCCGCAAGAATTCTTGCCAATATCAGCGACGACCGCCTCGCTCAATGGAGATCCATCTCGAGAACTATTCTATCATACCTGCTAGACGCCAAACACAACGCCGAAAGTAACCAGAAATTCAGGAATAATCTGACGACCTTTCTTAAAAGGGCCTTCCCTCAATCAGGCCCAAACATTACGGTCCGTCCGCCGACGGCCCAAACCCATGACCAATCTGGAACCCCTTGGGGCTTCCTCGTGGAAGGCCTCCACCCCTCACATATCAATACCCTCATAGCTGGCCACCTATGGATAAGCCGCGCGATATGCTTTATCGCGATCGACTTCGCCAACTACAGACCATCCAGATATGTAGTCTCCCTACGCGGGCTCGGAGTGAACCTAAATGAAAAGGACGACGTGGAAAAGGCCATTACTCAAAGAATCCTCGAACATAGATCACCATTCAGAAACTTCCTGGAAAAAGCCAACCTAAATGAGGATGAGATTAACTGCCTAGCGAATAGATGTGCGGCCATCCCATGAGGCTACTCCAACTCCAACCACGGGGGTCTCAACCCATCTGAACGTAGGAACCCAACCTCCGATGCAAATGTCACTCTATGGGAAATCCACCTCCCCCCCCCTTTCTTCAAAGTCCAAGACCCCACCCCCGGGGACATGAATAGTATCCACAACCTATGGATTCAACTGTTCAAACAAACCTCGTTCTCCACCCCCACAAGCAACAATGGGTCTGCCAGTGGCGACCATATTTTCTGCCATACGTGCAAAGGGATTGACCACACATTCTCGGTGTGCCCAATTCATGAGCACCACATCTGGCGCGAGCTCAACCTGGGTCCGAGTAACATCCCAACCCCGGACCGACCCACGCACCACCCTGTGAGACGTGGCCACAGTAGGTACCCTGGCCGAAATAGCAGACACGGAAGATACCATGAATAAATAATAGGGTAAAGTCGCATTACACTACTACAATGGCAACCCAGTCCGCTGCCCAATGTACCTCTCCCCCCATATAATAAAAAATGATCATGCTGAAAAACCCGAGAAAAACACACTGGCACGCCCAAATTTACTGGACCGAAAGGTGACAGGAAAGCATGCCAGCCCCCCCTCCCCACAACAATTTCCCAAATGGCTGGCAACCAATGGGAACTAACACAACCACCAGTGAACAACTAAGTCTAACCAAAAGAAAACCCAGGAAGGATCCCCAATCTCCTTACGCACGCTCATCTGGTAAAAGGCCTCTGCCCCCCAAGGATGATCAGTTTATGCCGTTTAATGAACACCCCATGAAGGGGGCAGTGGATCGAAAAACGGAGTCTCCCAAAAAACCCCTCTGCCTAAGGGGTGGCAATGGACCGCCAAAGAACCCATCTACCAACCTAAAAATAGGTGCCCTCAACATAAAAGGGGCTAATAGCCCCGTGACAAGGAATAAGTGGCCAACCATCCTACAGAAAATGAAACAAGAAAAATACGGCATCTTTTGCCTCTCCGAAACCCACATAGACCAGCCACAACAGGCCTACCTGGACAGCACATTCAGTGCTGAATGGCACATCTCACACTCTTACAACCCAGACCACACCCACTCAGGCGGAGTTGCCATTGTAATAAATAAAAACATAATTAAGAAAGACCCATCCATATCGAGAAGCATAATCCCTGGCCATGCCCTCCTCACTGAAATAGAATGGCAAACTAACAAAACCACGAAAATCCTGACAATATATGCCCCTAACATTAACTCTAGCAACAACACCCAATTCTGGGCAGACCTAAGCCAAAAACTAGATGGCACCCCAATCGACATTATGCTTGGTGACCTCAATACGGTAGAAGAGGCCTCTGACAGACTCCCCCCCCACCCAGACCCTGAAGCGGCAGTAATGGCACTCCAAAACTGCACCACCCTAAAAGCCCTCTCAGACGGATGGAGAGCGATGCACCCAGCCCCAGAAAAGAACTTCACCTACGGTCACGCAACTGGAACATCCCTATCGCGAATAGACAGAATATACACCTCCGATGCGATAAGAAACCAAGCACTCACCTGGGAAATCCTAAACCCTGACCTCACGACAGCCGACCACCAGCTGGTCTCAGTTGAGCTACACGATGACCAAGCCCCAAAAATTGGCAGAGGTCAATGGGCCATTCCCCCATACCTCACCAATGACCCAATCTTCCTACAAGAGGTCGAAACAATTGGCAATGAAGCCCTCGAGGAGATAGCAAGGCACAACAATGCCCAAATCACCTTCCAAGAATTTATAACGGCAGTGAGACTCCTAGCCAAAAAAATGTCTAAAATAAAATCTGGGAAACTCAACTCAGAAGTAAGACACCTCACACAGAGACGCGACAAAGCGATGAAAAGACTGAATACCGCAGACATAACCCTAGCTGAGATTACACAGATCCAAATACAAAACCTAACTAGAAGGATAAACGAAATTGAGAGAACTAAACAAGCAAAGGCAAAAGGCCGCTCTGGATCCAACAAAAAGCTACTGAGTGAAACCACCAATAAATACTGGTGCAGCTGGGGAAAAGAAAACAAACCCCACGACACCATCCCTGAACTAAGAGTTCCAGGATCCAACCCCCCAACCTATACCTCCATAACTGAAGAAATGTCCACTATTGCGGCCAAACACTATGATGCCGTCCAACACAGAGACCTTACATCCACCCCCAAGGAGCGGGATTCCCACCTAACAATCGTGCTTAATAAAATCCACAACTGAGTCCCACCTGAAACCTCTGAAAAACTTGCCTCCCCCCTGAACCAGGACAACATCGCCAAAGCCCTGAGCCAATCACCCAATGGGAAAGCCCTGGGCCTCAACGGCATCCCAACAGAACTATATAAGAAACTAGACATAAGATGGAGAAAAGAGAACAGCACGGGCCTACACATCGTCGGCCTCCTAACTCTCCTGGCAAATGACATAGAAAAAAATGGGACCACCTGCGCCCAAATATCCGAAGGCTGGCTCTGCCCCCTATACAAAAAAAAAGACAAACAGGAAATTGAAAACTACAGACCGGTAACAGTTCTCAATGCGGAATACAAGGTCATAACAACAGCCTTAATGAATAAACTCTCCCCCATAGCCCCTCATCTAGTCCATAAATGCCAAGCAGCCTTTATCAAAGGCCATAGCATTTTCGACCAAATTGACCTCGTAAACCATATGACAGACCTATGCGAGCTCATAGGTCAGGACAGTGCAATCATCACCCTAGATCAGGAAAAAGCCTACGACTGCATCTGACATGACTACCTCTGGAAAGTCATGGAGAAAATGGGCATACCCCACCCCTACATATTAACTGTAAAAAGCTTATATGTGGCTGCCAAAACTAAAGTTATCCCAAACGGCGTAATAAGCGACGACTTCTCGATATTCAGAGGAGTCCGCCAAGGTGACCCCCTATCATGCCTACTATTCAACATTGCCATAGAACCTCTCTCCATCGCCCTAAGAGACTCTACTGCCCTCCATGGCCTCGAAATCAAAACCCCTTCCCTCTCCCAAAGAACAATCCTATCCTTATTTGCCGACGACACAGCCGTCTTCCTCTCCAAAGACGATGACCTAACCGACCTCTTCTCAATCCTAGACAGCTGGTGTACTGCATCTGGGGCAAAATTCAACCGTGAGAAAACTGTCATCCTCCCGGTGGGAACACTGGAACACAGAGAAAGAACTTACAATGAAAGATGTATAAATCCCCACTCGAATAATAAACTTGAGGACTCAATCACAATCCTGAAAGACGGTCAAACTATGAGATACCTAGGGGCCCAATGTGGCAATAAACCAAACCACAAGGACCCCTGGCCCGCCATCATGACTAACATTGAAAAATCACTCACCCAATGGAACAAAACCTACCCATCCATCAAAGGCCGCCGGCTGATTGTCCAGATGACTATCAGCGGAATGATGCAATTCCACACCCGCGCCCAAGGCATGCCCAAAGAATATGAGTGCCGACTTGACAGGAGAATCTGCGAGTTCATATGGA